TTTTAATAGATTTTTCAGAAATCTATTACGCGACATAGAAGATTCCTTTTGCGCGAGAGATTTTTAGTGAACGGCAATTATAGGGATTGAACGAATTTAATTTTCCCATAATACGGACGGAAGAAAGTTCGAAGAGTTTCGGTAGAGATTATTACCAACATTTCAGACACGAGGAATTATTAATATTGGTATACACGCAGATACGAGTATCGGATTCTCTTTCTTTCGTCTGCCGTAAGCTCGGCGAGATTTCCATTCAATTCCTCGCTTTAATGTCGATCGATGTGAGACACGTAGACCAGCAAAGAATGACGGGTTTCTCCATAGAACAGAGAAACCGTCCGAAATGTTTCGATAGGTTAACAATATTCCAAAGTGACGAGCCAATTAACTAACCAAAGATACAAAGTCAACAAACGGAGGAGGGGGTCCGAGGCAAATCATCGAGCCAATTTCTCATCTGCAAAAGAACGTCTGCGTCTTGGGTAAAAGACCTCGCTGCCCGCTGCAAGAATAATCCTGGACAAATAACGCGGAACTGAATAAACGAGACAATAGAAGCTTAAAAGGTAAATATGAAGATCGATGACGCGGGCGCAGGGAGTAGCAGTAGCACCAGCAGCTGCGGCGGCGAGGCAAGAATCGTGCGCTCGAGGAGGATCGAACGCGAGCGAGGCGGAAGAGGAGGGCCGGCCTCCGGGCAAGGGTCCGAAATCAATCAAAACATTAATTGAAAGAGCCGAGAAGACAACGGCGCGGCGCCCGTTCGTCTAAGGCGGTAGCTACGGATACTCTTGATAATCGAAAGATATCCTGGCCAATAGCCGGCACGCCCGACCGACGACTACCAGAGAAGGAGAAATAGAAAGAGAAAGAGGATAGGTAAGGAGAAATCGAGAGCCACGGAGGGTGGATGGAAGGAAACAAAGACGGACAAACAGTGAGATAGACGGAGCGAGTGCTCTGGTGTGGTCGCGAGCAAGAGGAAGGAACTTTCTTCCTTGTTCGTTTATGTTCAAGATGGGTCGAGGAAACGTACGGGGGAAGAAAATTCGCGGCACGAAGAGAGGGGAGAGAGAGAGAGAGAGAGAGAGAGCTGTGGCGACGACCGATAGCGAACAGCCGTGTCGAGGCGATAGGAGAAACGTTTAACAAAGGGAACAAAGTCATTTTAACCCGGTGACACGAAACGAGCCGTCATTGTTCGCGGTTCAGAGTGGAGGAACTCGTCCGTAATCCCGCGAATCGGAACGAGATCGGGCGGCAGGGGGCAACACGTAGAAAAGTTATAACGAGTGACGACGACGACGGCAACGACGACGATCGCGTATGATCGACCGGTAACCCTCCGTCGAGAGAGAGAGAGAGAGAGAGAGAGAAGGGCACGGGCAGAAAAATTGTTTATCGGGCTGGTAAACTCGATCATTCTGGTCAGTTGATTCGATTCGTTCGTAATGTACCGCAACCGCTGCTAATAGTACACGGACAGTTAATGAACGCGATCTCTATTCAATTGTGGACTGGCGTTATTAGTAGAAGCGAGCGTAGCCGCTTTATTAATTAATGAATCGATTTTAGTCGGTGGCCGGTTAATTATTCAACGTCGGTCGGCATCGGTGCAACTGCAAATGGTTCTTTAATGATCAGGAGGGGGAGGGGGAGGAGGTGGTGGAGGGTTGGAGAGGGGGAGGGAGGGGGACAGACCGATATTGCGCGTTTCCACCGACCGGCTCGGCTCTCTCTTCGTTCTATTCTATTCCATCCTGTCTTCGTCCCGTTGCCGCTTTGTCCGCGCGGTTAACGTGCCTCCTGGTTTTGCGTGTATGCATGTTCGATCGAACGTCGCGCGGGAAATCTTCGCCACCGGAAATCGTTCGCCGGTGCTCGCCGCAAACGATCACCCGGCTCCGTAGGATCGATCGACGTTGGCGAAATTCGCGTAATCCGCCGATTACCTCTCATCGAACGGCGAAAACAGGATGGCTGGCTGGCTGGCTGGCTGATTGGCGAACAGAACGAATTAAAGTTTCGGTTGTAATTGTATTCGCATTCGCGTGCGACCGCGGACCGTCCCTTTCCCCTTCGCCACCAACTCGTCCGCCCGCCGCTCCGCTCGCGGCGAACGGAAGAAGGTGGCACGCGAAAAATTCGAACGAACGCGACCGCCGAGACGGTCGATTTCCCAGGAACGTCGAACGCGGAGAATCGCACGCGGATCGCGGAGAAGATATTCGAACGTTCGCTGAAAAATCTCTTGCAAATGGAATATCGGGGGCCGACGCCCAGAAGGACGAGAAGGACTAGAAGGACGAGGCACTGCCACCTGGCGGAGTGCCTAAGGACCCACGGGAAGCTTCAATCGTCGTAAAAGCAACGCCTCTGGATAGGGACGGCAGGAAGGAGAGGGCGAAAGGGGAAGGCAAACGGGTGTGGGGTTAGAAGTTAACTTAGAAGTTCGCGGGTGAATCGCCGTGGACGGGACGAGGACGGAGAAACCGAACATTCCCTCGAAACTGGTAAGAGACGGGGGCGTAGAGGTTCGAACGAAAGCTAGAGAGAGAGAGAGAATGAGAGGGAGAGAAGAAGGGAAAAGGGAAAACGAAAGGCGGAAGAAGAGCAGAAAAGGATAGCGCACGATGGTCAGTCCCGGAGATACACGTTCGACCGGTGCACCCGACTTAAGAGGATTACATTTGATATTTCGATCGGGCAAAGTGGCTTTTTATTGGACATTCGCCTCGGAATTATCGCTGACGCGTGTCGAAAGACATTACGCGTGGCCGGTATTATTAAATTATATCGCAACTGACGCGGTCCCCTATAACCTTTTTTTCGGTAACGACGACATAGTATATGCCTCGTCGCGAGAACTACTTTTGCAAAATCAACATTCGATCATCTACATCGTAATTTCACTGTATCCTGTCTTGACAAACAGAAGCGTCGTTGCCCATTATACCGGTGCAAGTGCGTCTGATGTACCTTAACGCGAACAATGAAGAACGAAAAGGAGCGAAGAGCGAAAGGTGCAGGAAAGAATCGAAAGAGCGTTAATTGCGGCGTTATCGCACAACCGCTGCAGATTCAATTCCAGCGGCGTACAAAAGCAACAGACAATTGCCGCGAATATCAACCGCGCGTCTCTAGGCTAAAACGGTGAAACGTTGTTACATCCACGTGGCGCGGATAGCTGTCGTTGCTGCAGCAGCAGCAGCAGCAGCAGCAGCAGCAGCAGCAGCAACATCGACGCGACGCGACACGACACGAGTCGCGGCGTCACGGTCATACTTCTGCTTTTAGCCGGAGCTAATTAGCTGCACCAATTTGTCGGTGTAAAATAAACGTTTGCCTCGCCCGACCGTCTCTCTCGCTCCAGTTTTCTCAATTTATTTGTGAACTGTGTGCGCAACGGAGCCATGGCTGTCAACGTACCGTACGTACAGCACACACAGAGACGAGACGATCGCACAGCCTGGCTGTTCATCGTCCAAAAGCCTCCTCCGCCTCCTCTGCCATCGTTTCAACCACCGTCAAGCCTCCATCTTTCTGTCTCCGCTCCTTGTTCGTCTGCCGCGGACTTCAAACGAAATAATTAAGTCACTCCGTTCGGGAGGACGACTAACGAGATCGCCGCCGCTACTAAAACTGGCGCCAATTATTGAAATTCAAACGACCGGATAACCTCGCATTTCTCGGCACGACCAACGGACAGCCCCTTAGGTATCCGGTCGCGGTGGATCGCCACCACGTCACGAGCGTCTTGCCAGAGGGAGAAAGACTAACCGAAGATATAGAGTAAAAGACAGACCGACAGATAAGAGGTTCGATCAGATACGATCGATGAACAAACAGAGGAGTTACTCCGAGGAAGTCGTAAAAATGAATTTCGACGCGATTTCAACTGTCCGTCTGTTACGCGTTGAATGTCCTGAAATTTCATTTACAAGCGAACGTTGCGTCGATCCCGTGCGTGAAAATAATTAAAAACTGTAGACTTTTGATTTCGAGATCGATCGTCTACGGTAGCACGCCGTTTCATGAATGAAATTTTACAGTTTGCGCGAGGAGGATAAACATCGGCTGGCGTTGCGTATCAGAGTCAATTAAAGTGAACGGTCGGCGCTTCGTTCGTAATAACAACGGGTTATTGTGCCGCGAACGTGGAAACGTCGCGTCTCGCGCGGTAATTCCACTCGCGTTGATTGAAAAGAATTCCCTGGTTATCCGCGAGCCAACAACAAAGTAATCGAGCGCCACCTTGACGCTGCGAGCGTTAGCGCAGCAATGTGCCAGCATTTGACGGGATGCAGATTAAGCTCGCTTCTAAGGAATCGGTATCGCTAACCGGCAACCATACGAACGCGCTGCGTTCCCTTCGATGCCAACGGCGACGAGGACAGTGTCAGCGATGATGACTAAACGTCGCGGTTAAAACGCGCCAATCAGACCGACGAAACACACAAAAAAAAAAAATCAGAGGCGATAATAGCAGACCGCTCGCCTGGTCTAACGCGCGATATATCGAGCTAGCGTGTAATTTCTACCTTCCATTTGTCTCTCGTTCATTCTTTTTTTTCTTTTTTTCTTCTCTTTCATTTGCCACCTTTCGCATGCAAAGCGGATTACGCGGAATTTTATAACAATTTTCGAACTACGCGGATTGAGCGGGAACAACGAGCGCGCGCGCGCACGTTAATCGCACCACTATGGAAAGGGCAAATGCGGTTTTCACCGGAAGTCCCTGTTAAATTGAACGTGTGATCGCGCTCGGACCGACTGGACCGACCGAGTGGAACTTGTGAAATTTGAATTACACACCACATTTCCAATTCCTCTCTCGCGTTTCGTTTTTATCACTCCAATTAGCGATTACATTAAAAAAGAGAGAGAGAGAAAGAGAGAGAAGAAAGAAAAGTATGTTAAAGAGAAGATGTAACGACTCTGTCGAATGTAAAAAATCATTATTCCGCGACGAGTAACGAAAATGTTCAAAAACTTACCTAAAAGAAATCGAAGCTCGAGCCAGTTTCCACGGGTAGCTTGTGCCGTGCACGGTTCTCCAGATTCCCTCCGTCACGTGACACTACACCAGCTGCACAGAACAACGTTCACTATTTGTCATTCGCCTCCCCATGAAATTCGTAGCGCGAAATTCGTTCGGGTATGCACACGGGTCGTCGCAACGGGGACGTTATCGCCGATCGCGAAGAAATCGTGGTTATTCTATCGCGAAACGAGTCATGCCGCGGTTTCCTTTCAACACCGTTGAACGAAGGGACTTTGGAAGAGGCGACAGGAGTCACGAAACCGCCTGCTCGGCGGTCAATTGTAAACTACCGAGCACCGCGTGCGACCGCGGCACGCCACCGAAAGTGATAAATCCCCACTTCTCCCGGCGCTTACCCCTCCGGCCGCCCCACTCTCGCGCTTTCGCTCCCACCGAGCGCCAGATTTCCACCCCGACGTCACTGCTTCCCCGCCGGTGACGGTCTTCCCACTCCACGTCAGTCACACTCGACCGTCATCGCACCCGTATATACACGAACCCGGGGAACTCGCGCGCCAGCCGAAACCCGTATTTGCACCCGCCATCAAACGCAACCCGCACTCGCTGCCCCCCCACTCCCGCCTATCATCGAACCATTTACGCTGCCGCGCAGTTTAACTGCTACTCGAGCGAAATTCTTGGCAACGAGGAGGTGGTAGGGGGTAGGGAGACTCGCGTTTCAAGTCGATTAAGACGATGATCAATGCATCGGAGTGGTATCGGCCCCGGAATATGTTCCCACGAGTCGAGTGCGCGGACTCGATCGGACGAGAGAAATAAGGGGATCGTAAGTTTTCTTGTTACCGTTTTTTATTCTTTTCTTTTCATTCTTTCTTTTTTTTCTTCTCCTTCTTCCTCCTTTTTTTAAAGAGGACGATCGACGATTCGACATTTGACTTGTATATTCGATGTAAGTTAATTAAAGGCGGGAATAACGAAGTCGGCCGATGCGGGTCGTTGGAATGGCAAAGGAGAAAAGAAGCACGATGGAATCGTTTCCACGATGCGCGACTCAATAACCACGCGGGCATCGCTCGTAGGAACAGGAGTGTCTCTAATTACCGTCCTTTCGAGGATAAACCAACGAAGGGATCGCTTTGAATCGTTGTTGAAAGTGTGGGTGTGCGTTTCTGTGTGTGTAAACGCGCGCAATGGAGCTAAATGGAAAGAGAGGCCAACGAAAAATGAAACGACAGAAGATAGAATGGATGGAAGAAGGGAGTGATAGTAGAAGAGAAAGAGAGAGAGAAAGAAAGAGAGAGGGAGAGAGCGGAAGAGGAAGGGAGGAGAAAAGAGATCGTGTGGTGGATCGCAACCCGAGTCGAGACATAGCGACGGTGGATTAACCACCGAAGCGGCGTGCTCGCATCGTAGAATTCCACCCCTAAAATCGCCCCTACGAATACCCTACCATTCCTCGACGCGAGCCGAACGCAGGGATGGCATCCCTACTATATGTCCGGTTCTCCCGGCGGGAGACGCGTCTACCACCCCTACGAGGCCACACCTCCCATTACAAAAATTACACTGGTCGCTGATTTAGTGTTCTGCGCCGGTTCTTGGGGGTGTCCGCGGGGCAAAGCGAGGAACAGAGGCTCGGGTGCTGGCGCGGTAGCGCTCGAGGGTACCTCGTGAGTCCAGGGTGGGGACGTAAGTAATGAAAGGGTTGCCGCCAGCTTCGAGAATCACGGAATCATTCGCCAGATTAAATTAGAAAGGCTACGACCTTTTTTTTTTCCCCACTCCCATCACTATCCACACCTACGGAGCCACCCCGAGCGAAATGGATTAGGCCATGTTTACTACCTACCATCGACCATGGGGTCTCCTTTTTTAATTACCGGCTGATTTATGACTGCCCTCTGATTAAATCAGCGAGAAGAGTGGATTACTCCCGCGAAATGACATTTCTCTGAAACTTGTTCGATTCGACGTTTTATACGTTTCTCCGTTTCGTCCTCGATTTACCCGCTCGGTCTTCCGCCCACCGAATTCGCCCAACCCCACTTGCCCGAGCGTTCTCGATCGGTGCGCGGCTAAATTTAACGTCCGCCAAGTTTCCGGTTCACGGGAAACGCGCCGCTCTATTTTTCGAATCGGGATTTCGACGCGTCGGTTTACAATCCGCATCCACACTTTTTTTTTTCACCCCCACTGCTCCTCCCTGCCTCTCCCTCCCTGTTCACCGACATCACCGTCATCGCTGTCACACATGCACACGCACACGCACACGCACATAGACACGCACGTACAACAACGCTCCCTTTCCCTCTATTTTTCGCGAGAACGGAACGAAATTGGGGCGATTGCCAGGTTTCATCTGCAATCTGGAACGAAACTATGTTGAATTTAATTTCGTAGAATATCGCGGGGTGGTCCGACAGCCGGGATGCTTTTAACTCGCGGTGGTCAACAACGAAACGTCCCCGCCGGGGCGAGAACCTCGTCGACGGGAGTCCCGTGTCGCTTTGCTCGCTCGAACAAGCGACGCTCGCGCGAGGGACGGACACATTTTTTTCAAAATGATGAAACGCATCAAACGCACAGGCGGACAGTTTTCGACAGAGATCGGAGACGAGATCTTTCAATCACGTCCATTACGAGTATTTGAAAAGCGTGGCGCGTTCGCGAACGACGAACTCGTGATCGTGGCTAGGTCAAAGATCGAATAGATGAAAGATCCGACGGAATAGAGAAGCGGGAAAGGAATACGAGGAGATAAGAGGGGGACGAGTAACGGAGGACGAGAGAATGCGAGACTGGGGGAAAGATCAGAATGAAGAAAACAGAGAGAGTGAGGGGGAAGGTGGAAGATGGGAAAGGTACTAATCACTTCTAGGGACTTTAATGGAGGTTTTCTGTACGCCGTCTACTTTGTCCACGACTTATACTACTTCGAATCGGTTGGAAGTAGAGTATTTGGGAGAAAAAGCAGCCGGAGAGTAGCGTTACGTGTATTAAACTAAACGGCACTCGGCTAGCTAGCTGGTTAGCTCTCTCTCTTTCTCTTTCTCTCTCTCTCTCGTCTGGCCAGACTGGCGAGCGCACGCTCTCTTGTCTCCCGAAGAAACGTTCCGTGTCGATGCCGAAATAAATTCTACGGCTGCCAGCCGCAAGCCCCCGTGTGCCCGACCCATTCGAGTTTCGCCCCCTGAAACGGATTTATTTAGCGTTCGTTAATTAAGAGAGAGCCCCGCGCGCTGGTTTCAACTTCTAAATTCGATCGAGCTTTTCTTCGATAAAACCTAAATTTCCCGTAGTCACGCGATACACCCCTTCGTTCCCCCGGGGTAATTGCCGGGATGTTGCGCCAAAACAGGGAACGCGATTCGACGCTCGTTCTCGTTAACGAATCCCCAACGATAATTACGTATTTGTTTCTCGACGTACCGGACGTGAAAATTTCTCTTTAGAAAAGTCGTCGCTCGTATTTTTTTCAGAAAGAGAGAGAGAGAGAGAGAGAGAGAGAGAGAGAGAGAGAGAGAGAGAGACTGATACTCCAAAATACCAAATTTCCAATGATTTTCGCGTTTATTTTCCGCGCCGAACGTAAGAAGCGAATTTGCAAAAATTCGACTATGCAAGTTTGACCAAAACGCAAAAAACAGAGCCTGGATATTGATATCCTGGACGGAGGATGATTCTCGACGAGCAAGAGGACATAACACACACGCGCCAAGAGAGAGAAACGTGCCGAGCCCCGTCTTCAAAGTTCCCACTCGACTCGAAGTGCATCCTCGCTGTCTGTGTCCCGCTCTCAACGTCCAATACGGGCGAAGGTAGCGCGCGTGTTCGCGCTCCGCACGCTCCGCTCTCGTGGATTTATTATGCATGGGCCTGATGTATCGGACATCGGCCGGACAGCTACGTGGAGTGTGCCCGGGCGTGTGTATTAGTGCCGCTCAAGTGGCGTTGGCCATCAACGGAGGTAGACGTTATTCTCAAGAGTGGACCGGGAAAGGACGACTGGCGTAGGATAAAAAGAAAGATCGTGCGACTCAGTGGGAGTAGATGAGAGTAGCTCCACTACCTCCGACTGACTCTCCTTTTTCAAAGCTCCTCTCTCTCTCTCTCTCTCTCTCTTTCTCTTTCTCTCTCTCCTGTCCGTCTGCGAGGCAACTTCTATTCGTCTACCTCTACGAATCTTCCATCTTTTCGTGACACGCGAGCCGACGCACACGCGAATCGAACATATTTTCATTACGGTCGATCGTCCGTTCCCAATTAGTCGTTAATTACTCCCGAACGTCTTGTTCTCGTGCCGTGAGTTATACACGTGCGCGTGCGAACGTTCGCCCGGTAGTTCGCGAGATCGCGCGTCGTACCCTCTTAAAAATGCTCGGCCCGTTTTGCATCTACGCGGAAAAATATTTACGCAGCGAGAGCGCGCTGTTCGCCTCGTCGGTGTTGCTGCACGTAACCGTCTGCAACGCGAGCCTCGTACACGATCCGTCCCGTTGCTGCCCGTTATCCAAACACGTACGTATCGTGGCCATCCTCCGTGCAACGTCAAATATTTTTTCGAGCGTGAACTCGGCAAACAACCGGTCAGTTTTTTCGCCTATTAGGCGATACGCGTCGCGCCAACCCCGGGGACAGGGGGCGGATCGATCTGAAAAAAAAAAAAAAAAAAAAAAAACGGAGACTGCCGAACTCCTCGTCTTTCGTTTCTTCCGTTCCATCTCCGCGAATAGGAAGCGGAAAGAATTTCGTCGTGACGCGCAAGCCCAACAGTCGACGATTAATTCAATTACGCCGAAATAGACTGTTGGGTGGTTTGTTCCCTCCCTCGGAGATTTCGCTTCATTTGAATAATCACGGGGCGAGGGGGGGCAAAGGGAAACGAACGCGCAACCAGTCCTCGATTGAAACCTCCTTAGCGATATCAGCGTGTAATTCAAATCGGTAGCTACCGTCTAGCGATCTCTCTTTCCTTCTTCTTCTTCTTCTTACTCTTGCTCCTGGTGTATTACTTTCGTCCCTTGTTCTTCCCCTTTTTCTTTTCCACGATCCTCCGCAAAGGTGATTATGAAAGCTCGGTCAGGTTAAATTACTTTTGGTAACGTTAACTGCCGGCTTGGTGCTTCGATGAAGATAGCGCTTACAGGGGTTTGCCGGCGGTACGGGGGCGGGTTTCCGCGCACCTGTCGAGTTTCCCACAATTTTGCGCGCCGGCTCGCACGTTTACAGACATTTCGAGAGGGCGTGCCAGCACCGACTGGAAAAAGAAAGCCTTCTCTCTCTCGCTCGCTCGCTCGCTCGCGAGAGGGTTCTCGCATCGGGAATCGCTGGGGTCCATTTAATGCGATTAGAGCATCCCCGCTATCATCACGGCCTGTTTGATTCGCCTTTTTGCCGCGAGCCTCGTAATGTCTCCGTTCTTCTCGTCCGTCCATCCCCTTCTCCCTCCCTATTCGTGGCCATTTTCGATCCTACTTTCGCGTTTTTCGCGACTCCGTCTCTCCAGGCTTTCCTTGCCAGTTCGTGCTTGTTCGCGTTAATGGCCAAACGATGCCTGGTTCTTCGAAACCGCGTTGCTTTTCAAATCTCGCTGAGTTCGCTCTCGTTCGTCTTTTTTTTCCTTTCTTTTCTTTTTTCGTATTGTGTAGCGAGGAACTTGCTTGCCATTTTTATCGAGGAGACTGCTACACGGCTCGAGAGGCGACGCGAGCTCGAAAAAGTGGCGAATAATTCGTAATTTTTCATTCGCGTAGTTTCATTCGATACCGTCACGCGACGGGGGTTATTAAGGTATCTATCATTCAATGGACGGCGTACATCTTCATCCTCCATTCGAAGTATCGATCGAGATAAACCGATGATAGATGGGCGTCGATTGCGAGACAGATGAGGTGGCACAGTAACCTGATTGCAACTGTATGCGATATCCGAATGGTAAAAAAGGGAACGTGCTTCCGGTCGTTTCGCACGAACTTTCTTGTAACTTTAGTAATCGGATTGCCAGTTAGTTAAATTTAGGCACTTGGCATTTACCTCGTCGCTCTATCATCCTGCGGTAATTTTAACCTTTTTTCCTTCAGAAAATCCAAAGGATGTATCTTTCGAGAATAATACTAGAAACATTGTATTTTACAATGTTACATTTGATTGGCCAAAAAGTAATTTTGTTCTAATACATTTACATCTTAAAATGCGTAATTTAATAAGAACGATTGTTCAAACTTGTTTTAAAAAGGATAACAAATGTCGGTTTCAACACAGAGAATCAAAGAGCAAAACAAAATATTTTCGTCATGTTTTTACTGTCTTTGAAAAGGGCAAAAAAAGATTGTGTCAAGCTCTGACAAGTTACAGCAGTGTCAGAATTAATTTGCCAAATTTCACCGCCAACGAGGATATCAAATCATTCTTGCAATTTATTTTTTCTTTTTTTCATCGAAGAAGAATTTTTTTTGAACGTGGCAGAGAAGGCAAAAGTTAATAGAACAAAATGATCGATATATTAATAAAGTTTTCGTTTCTCGTAAAGAAAAAAACTTTTTAGCCAACCTAATATCGCGCGAGTCTCGCCGCGAAACTTTAATTAATAAACTTTTTTTAATTAATAAAATTCGTATCTTTTTCGACAAAAAAAAAAAAAAGAATGAAAGTTTTAAGAATGATTTGATATCTTCATCGATGGTGAAATTTAACAAACCAATTCTGACACTGTCGTGATTTATCAGATAACTTTTCATAAGCTTGCATAGTTCTTTTTCTTTTTTTTCTTCTCGGAGATAGTAAAAATACGACGAAGGTGTTGCTTTTTGATTTTCTATTCGAAGCGCTTATTTTAAGATAATCGTAAAGATAAAAATATTCCCGTCTCTTCGACAACACTTTACCACTTAACGTGCTGGCCAGTTAAACGCCGTTATATTTAACGACACATTCTCACAGCGCTTTTTCTCTCTCGTTTCGGAGATGGTAAAAATACGACAAAAATATTGCTGTCTGATTTTCCTTTAATTTCGAAGCGCCCATTTTAAGATCGTAAGATCGGTAAAGAATAAAATATTCTCGTCCCTTCAACCACACTGAACACTTTACCGCTTCACGCGTTGTCCAATTAAACGTCGTTATATTTAACGACACATTTTCACAGCGCTTTTTCTCTCTCTTTTCGGAGATGGTAAAAACACGACAAAAATATTGCTGTTTGATTTTCCTGTAATTTCGAAGCGCCCATTTTAAGATCGGTAAAGAATAAAATATTCTTGTCCCTTCAAGCACACTGAACACTTTACCACTTAACACGCTGGCCAATTAAACGCCGTTATACTTAAACGATATATATTCTCGCGGTGCCGGTGTTTCACTTTATTCGCCGGATTACCGTTCGCGATGTTAATTACAGCCGCGACGCTGTAGCCGTGCATTTTTCGGCCTGGTTTCTTCGCTGTTGGTTAATTGTTCGGCGGCGGCGGGTTTAAGCTTGCGGTGTTCCGAGACACAGAGGGAACGCAATTTCATTACGTTTCCGATCCGGCGTTGTTGCAGACGTTGCGAGCGGCTCGCGCGTCCAAATCCAACGCGGTACAGGACCGCGACTATTAATTACGCCGTAACACGGTTAATTACGCCCGATTCGAAACTCCGCGCGAGAGCTGCACGGCCCCGCGCTAATGAACGCAATAACGGTCGGCCACGCAGGGATCGAAACACGCGGGGAAATCGCGGCGAAGAAAAACGAACGGCAGAAGCCCGGCATGCGCGGCTCTTCTCGTTGACCTAATTCGACGGTCAGCCGTGCTTACACCTTCCACTTCGACGCAATGCTACGACCCGTTTCCCGGGCCAGTTCGTTGACAGACCTGACAGATTTTAACAAAGAGAGCGATAAGTTCGTAACCGATCGATGCACACACGGCTCACGGTATAACATTTCTCTCCCGCTACGTCTTTGCTGACACGAGTGTGGCTTTGGTACGAGAAGCATCGAAGCACCCCTCATCGATCTGTTAATTAATTTGATTAATTAGATCAAAGATTTGGCAGAATTTTACGCACGACTGCGCAAAATGAATTTCGGCACGTGTGCCAATTATCTCGTGTAAATATTGGCACACTCGTCGAGCGTGTGACAGCAATTACGTATTAATTAATTAGATCCGAATGCATTTCATTTCGCGTTATTTAATGGTAGGTCCGTCGTCATCGTAAAAAAAATAGAATGTGGAATTTGACAAGAGAACGCGTTTTAAAGAGTTGGGAAATTACAGCCTCCGTTCGATATGTTTCGCAGCCGATTTTCGTTACTATTTTGCGACTCTTTTAACGAAACGTTTTGAGAAAATAAAATCTTTCCTCGCGGAGGGGAGGCGGAAGAAAAATTCTACCGTGAGCGTAACACATAGAACAGCTTCGCCACGCGAGACTATTAATATTTTATCGACGGGCTTTTACTATGAACAATGTTGACAGGGGATATTTTCAGAAAATAGGGGGAAAGATTGATCGTTTCCCTCAAATTGTTTTCCGAGAGTTAAACGCAATATGAAATTGCGATATGAAAAAAGCATGATCATTTCTCGCACGACGAACACTGCCCTTTACAACGTACACGAGTTGTTTTTACAACGCGATCTAATCAACTTTGCTTTATTTGTCACAAGAACGTAACGTAAATAACTGCAAATTCCGCTGCTTTCGATATCGACGTTGTTTTGTTATTTAATTAATATGACTCGGTACGAGCCGAGATATTAACTCGACGAATTTGCTGTCGTTGTTAATAACAGCGTTTATCGTCTGCCGTCTGTGAAGCATCGACGTCCAAATTGCTCGAATGCCATTAACTCGGACGGCGAAATCATCTCACGATACTGATAATTGGACTGCGAATATTTTTCATTGAACGCCTTACACATTCTGCGCACTTTTCAATCTTCAAATTTCCCAAATCGCAAGCACGGAGATCCCAAACAGCGTGCCAGTAATCCGATCATCTCGACTACTCGCCGTTTAACCGTGAAACGAGCCTGATCGCAATTAAAACGAACTCGAGGCATCTCGCATTTGACTCGAAGGCGTTCGATTTCCACGATATCGATTAATTCGCGTTTCGTTTGCGCGCTGCGTATATTTCACGCTGTTTTTCTTCTCCTTTTTTTTCCCTCTCTTTTTTTTTCTCTCTCCTTTTTGCAGAATAAACGTTGCAGGATACGAGGCAATCGAGGGGAGGTTACGGTTACGGAAGTATCAACAACAAGCTACTTGCTCGATCGTATCCGCTTTGATCAAGCAATTATTAATTGCCCTTCGGTTACCGGCAGTTAATTTTATCAGCGGCGGTGCGCGAACGTGTAATCAGCCTGTAAATTGTGTCGTCTCGTCGCCGCTTGCGTGTCTATGGAATGTCGGAGGTGAGACGCTCGATCAAACCTAAACTGCCACCAGCGTGCGCGTCCGCTGATAATCGAAGCGACGAACGCGCGCCTCAGATGTGAAAATGGCCGCGCGAAGGCGTGCTCGAAAAGCAACGAAATCGACTGTAAAGAGAGGGGAAGAACATTTCGTCGAATATATTCCTTCGACGCGGTAAATACGTGCTTGTTACTTATTCGAAATTAGAATGGAATGATCCGCGATTAATTCCCGCGAGTGATTCGCAGAAACGGAATCGAAAGGCTAACGCGCGCTGCGATTTCCGGAGAAGGATTACCGCTTGAAATATCATCGAGCATTAAAAGAGATGTTTCATTGAGTTTGATCAGTGAAATACGAACGAGTCTCTTATTCCACGGCGATGGAAATTCAGAGCTGCGAAAGCCAGCCGGGCGGATCGATTAAAAGGATTTTGTGCCCTACCTCTCCTTCTCTCCCTCCCCCACCAACCCCTTCAAGCCTATCTCACCGTGCACTTTGTTCCGGGTTCGCAGCACGCGGGGATAATTAAATTAGTTGGGCGAGAAGACGTCGCCGCGTGAAATAATATGCGGTCCGTCGTCTTCGCGATCTTCGTTATTCCTTTGAAGACTCTCCTCCGTCAGACGGTCCCGACGGTATAATACCGGCTATCGATCAGTCGCGGCGATCAATCGGAATTAAACGGAATTAAACGAGACACGAGATTCGATAGGAAGGACAAATAAACGAGAGGAGACTCGGAGAAATTGAACGTTGGCTCGATGACGACCGACTGGATTTTAGTTTTGCGTGCGAACACTACTTTCGAGTATTTTCAGTCATTTTCGGATCTATGAAGGGTACCTAGAAGTAATTTCGTTTTTTCTTCAAATTTAATAAACATTGCCATCTAGTGACGATAATTTAAAAAAAGATACAATTTAAAAAAAAATAAAATACAATTTAAAAATAAAATAAAATACAATTTAAAATACAATTTTTAAAAAAATACAATTTAAAAAAAAATACAATTTTGTACAGTATTGTGGGAAAGGGCCCAGAATTTTCTCCAGTGTCCGACGCCTGCAGATGTTCCAAGTGATGTAGCATAAATAATAGAGAAAGTTAGACCTGGGGCTTGAGATTGTTTATGGCTAGTCCTCTAGGCCTAGCGTTTAAGATATTAAGGATATGGATGCGTTTGTGTGTATGTGTGTAAGAATGACGAATTTTGTACAGATGAGGAAAAGAGGCAGTGAGTGTCGAGAAGCCAGAGAGAACAGAGTGAGTGTCGGGACGTCAGAGAGAGCAGAGTGAGCGTGCCGTAAAAGAGGGAAGACAGTGAGTTGAGAGTTGCGCGAGAGAGAAAAGAAAGTGAATTGAGAGTCGCGAGTCTAGCGAGTTTAGCAATTAAGAAAATAGTGTAAAACGTCATTTATAATCATCATTAAACAAATTTCCTTTATCTAACCTAAAATAAACAACCATTCTTTCATCAAAATTCTTACAAATTGGGATCTCAAGCCGGGATTCCTACAGTATCTAGAAACGACATTACTTATAGATATAATAGACGAGATATAGTTACTTTCCCCCCAATCTGGAAATTGTTGTGTAGTAATAAGTTTCTCTGAGCAGACGATCAAGCTTGAAGTAGCAGAGACACGCGGATCAACTGACGATTGATAGTTCTCGTGACCGAGAGTTTGAAAGAAGAATGCGTCGGAGCTTTAGAAAGCAACAGACGACTGATAATTCAATGAAAGCTGCTCTAGTTTGTCACTAGAGGCAAAAGAGTTACTGGTCATCGATACGAGGACAGTTCGCTATTGTGAAATTTCGCATGACGCAGGAAGCGTAAGGAAATGGCAACGTTCACTCGAATTCCGTTCTGATTTTAATATACGCGTTCCTGAAGCACAAAAGGCGGCCGAGCACAATTCCTAGAGCACAATGCGAGACAGCAGGTTGGAGGAAACAGAGAAAAAGCGAAATACACGCGTTGAGAGAATTTGAAATCTTCTTCACCGGCAGTGTCGCGTTACTCGCGTAAGAAAACACCAAGTCAATCTCGATTATGTATTAATCATCCACTGGAAAAAAAAAATCTGGACAACGACGAGTTATCAGATCAAATGCGTGAAGTTCACAGTTCTCTCCGCGTTTTCGGAATTGAACACCGCGACACACTTGACCTCGATATGGGCTAGAAACGCAGCAGGCAGTTTCAGTGACACGCGGAAAAGCTAAAGCGCGAACTGTTAATTGAACATAACCGAATTTCCTCGGCGTTTCATCGTTACGGGAGGGAACATACTCCAACGTACGTGTGTACGTTTGTACGTAGCCGTGGCGTTCGCTCGCTTTTCTATTTTCAGCACGATTAATTATGCGGCTTTCGTTGATATTTCCACGGAAATCCTCGAGCGCGAGCTGAGCCTTCCACCCCTCGCGCGGTGCAACGCGCGGCGCACTTTGCACTTTGTCACGCGGAGTAATTTCTTTCTGTCCTTTGCCGCTGCAGCGGACAGCTCGTGAAACTGCAAACAACACGTACGCGGTAATATTTCAGATTTCTCGGCAGGCCTTTTAATTTCTCGTCTTATTACCGTCCCCGGACTTTACCCACTGTCCTGCTGTGTTCTGCGAGCATTACGGCCAGTGAACTCGTCTCGATATTTCATTCTCGACTGTCGACTTGAAACTGACGTTTCAAATCCGTACATTGGGAAAGTCAGTCTGTACTCGCATCTTCGTTTAGAAGCCGTTTAATTTTTGACGAAGGCAGTATGTTTAACTATTCGTAGACTTCGAATTTCAAATTTTATCAGACTTCGAACATGAATTTTAATATAATACATTAAATATTTTCTTTATTGTATAAAGTAACAAATTAAACGATATCCTCTATTTTCCTTTTTCAGCAATAACGTAATTTCTTTCTTCAGTTCTGAAACATTTATAATGCTTGTCCAAAAATATTTGATCGGGAACGCACTTCACAAAAGTTCGTTTAATCCTACAAAAACGTACTGTCTACAAATCTACAAAACTTCCACTTGTGGAATTATTTTTATGCATTCTTTAATTACAACGTAATTAACTCCGCTCAGTAACATATCGTTAAGATCATATATTTCATACATAGTGATTATGAAGAATGAACGTCTTCAGCACAAAGTGTTTAGACTCGATTTATTTATAAACGTAAACACGTACGCACCCCACTCTCCGAGGACTGATAAATATGTGTGACATCGCGATTATCGAAAGCAAGGGTACCCTATCGAGAATGGAACGCGTCGACAACTTCCGGCCAGCTAAACTTCGCTAATCGAATCCGGCTGGCTCTCTTCAGGCCCGTATTTCCAGCATTTCGAATTAACGCGTTATGCAATTGAATCACGAGCACTCGGCGCGGTTCAGTTTTTAACGTTATTAGCCGCGGCGGCAGCCAGGCGATGGTGACTCGCGCCGCCTTACAAAATATCAAGAAAATCAAATTCCCAGCATCCG